GCAGCGTTTGTTGCAGCTGCAGGGATTTGTATCGCTGCTAAGGCAAGAGGTGCTTCTGCAATGGAGGCTCGAGGCCCCACTCTGGGCATATCAGAGACTCGCTAAAGGGACGACAAGACTCCACTTGAACCACTTGTGGTAACAACCTGTTGTTTATAGAGGCCCATATTTATTCTTTTGACATTTTAATTCATTTTTATTAAATAAGCAAGATACATGTTTAACAAATTCAGATTAGCAAAACAAGATTTATGCAAAAAAAATCACACACAATCCCACTATCCTGAGATCACCAATATTAATGTTTTGGCCTCAAGTTCTTCCAGACTTTATATGTAAACATAACCATCATAATGGTCCTGTTTGCTGGAATGCACCATGACCCTAACATGTTGTAAGCACTGTATCGGGTTTATCCATTAATCCTCCCAAATCCTAAACCACGGGAACTGTTGTGCTCACCGTTTCCAGGCAGAGAACCAGTGACGCAGCGAGACCCGACGCCTCCCCACGGTAACACGGGCAGTGGACGCTGTCCACCACGCTTCTGTGCCTTGGCTTAGATGGACACAGTCTTTTTGTTGCTGTCGATCTTTGCTCTGTTTTGCTTTGTGTTTGTCATTTTTGCTACAAAAAATAGGAACACTCTATACCTTTTTTCTGTAATATGCTTGTTTTTACTTCATAATTGCGGCAGACAAAATTCTAGCAGGGCTCCCGGAGCGCCCACTCCTGGTGGGCACACACATACCTCCCCCTGGTTCCACTGGACACCCACCTGGAGACTCCGGTGAGTGAGAATTTGCAGATGTGAGTTGAATCCTGAAATTGGTTGACGTTTAAGTAAGATGATGATACAAAATGAGTCTCCCCTAATAATTGTCCCTTTATTTATTTATTTACTTATTTGAGACAGAATCTCAAATAAATGGGGAGGGTGGTGAACCACAATGCGGATTCAGGCTAATAACATAGTAATTATCCTTAGCTTACTCTAGGTCACTTTCCAAATCCTATCATGGCTGGACTGGGAATTTCCAGATTGACAAAGCATCCCCTTCTTCCCCAGGTGTAGCAGATGCTGGGATAGGATTAAGGATGGGGCATCACCAAAATGGAGCGCCTGCCCTTATCCTTCTTCCCAGGTGGAGCAATTGCTCCAGACAGCACCAAAGCAGGGCACCCTTGTCCCTAGAAGAACTGGAGATTCTAACTATCTACCTACCAGCATCATTTAAATAACTACATAGCATTCCAGTATATGCCCTTGCACTGGGATTTATTTTATCAATGTCTTACTGTACCTCTTTGCTGTTTCCAACCTTTTTGCTATTTTAAGCAACATTGTAATGAACATTGCATAGCTAAGTCTCTGCACATATTCTTAAATTCCACAAGTGGAATTGCACAAAGTGTAGGCTAATATGGTTTTGATACACAGGACTAATCACCCTCCCAAAAAATTGCACCAATTTACCTTTCCATTGCCAACACTGGGTATTTTTCAGGTCAAGCAACAAAGCATGACCCCTATTTTTGCATTTGTAAATTGTTGGTGTATGTTGACTTTTTGTTTTCATGAAAGGCATTTGTATTGATGTCTTTTCTGTATATATGTATGCATGCGTATGTATTGCTTATATTGGTCAGGACATTTTCAATTGTAAGTGACAGAAAGTCACATTTGCTCAAGTAAAAACAGTGCTTATAGGCTCACAACTGAAATGTCAGGAAGAAAGCTACTTTTAGCTATGATCAGAACCAAGACCGACAGACTTTCTTTTTGAAACAAGGTCTTTCTCTCATCTCTACCTTCTTCTGGGTTGTGTAATTCTCCAGTTTCACAAGATGGCTCCTGGCAACTCCAGGCTTCTATCCTTATAATTCCAAGCTCAGCAGAAAGAAGAATCGCTTCTTCCTGCCCATTCCAGAGTTAAGTCCTGAGATTGGCTTTGACCAAGGTGGATCCCATACCCATCTCTGAACCAATTACTTTAGCTCAGTAGATGCGATACTGCTGATTGGATGGGCTCAGGTCAAATGCCCAGTCCTGGACTACAGAGTCCGGCCAGCCCTCCCTAAACCACAGTGGGCGGTGACTAACGAAGGAAAATCCAGGTGCGGTTACCAGATGCGGAAATGATGGTGAACAGGCTCCTCTAAGGAGCCTGGCCATTCACTAGGTGAGTTTCATTTATTGGATGTTTATCTTTTTATGAGAGTCTTAAAAACTCTTTATAAAATAAGAACATTAGTTTTGTCTTATGTATT